TATAATATATAATTTTTATTGTATGATCTAATTGCGCGATCTGTGTTGATTAAGACTACGGGTTTTGGTTTTTTTTTCATTTAAAATGTTTGTTCGATATCTAAGTAATCAAATTTAAAATTTTAAAAAAAGTCATATTAAGAATTTAAAAAGTGTCATCATTTCGAGAATCCCACACCTTAACTTACGCTGAAACCCCAGATATGGTCATCGAAGGTCAATTGTCGCAATGGTGCCCAATTGTTATAATTTATATGACTTGGGGTTTGGTAATGCGGAGGGTTTGGTATTTTACCAGAAAATTTGGGTTTGGTCCGGGAATGTTTAAAGAATTTTAGAGCATAGATAATCAAATACAGTTTCTAGAAATTCCTAGAACTTTCATTTCATTTGAAAGGTCATCTTGGGGAAGGGGGATTGGGACCAATATTTGATCGGTGTTAGTGCAGGATACAGCCACGGATTTTGCACAGCTAAAGGCAGAATTGCGAAAGTTTCCCCCCAATCAAAAATAAGAAAGAGTTGAAGGAGATTTTTTTCGCCCAGCAGGGAAGAAATCAGGAAGCCCAAAAAATTTTGTTTCGATTTACTTAAAATTCATAAAACTTTTGAACAGGGGTGTGCGGCGGAATTGGTTGATCACATTTTTTTTAGACCGAACCACAATTCCCGGACTATGGGAAGTCCGGAATCCCCGAACAGGTACAACTTTTTTAAAAAATCTTAGCCAAATTTAAAAGGGGGGTATTCTTTCAAATTAAAAAAAAGGGTTTCCAAAAGTGATAATGTGGAAAGACGGAGTCAAAACGCGCATATCATGTCTAATTTTTATGATAACCGAAACTGGAAAATCTGAGGTTGGGCGTAGACCAAAAATGGCAGAAATAAATTTTAGAGGTACTTATGGGAAAAGCCGTTAAAAAATAGGTTCCCGGTAGGAAAAAGATTTGGGGAAAGATGATCAGAGATTCAACGCGAAAAGGGGGTCCAACAAAAAAAACGAAAATATAATTTTTAAAAGGGGACCCAGAAATAGGAGTTCGGGAAAATTTTGTCGAACGATAGGGGTGCAAAAGGGGGCGATTGAAGTTTTGACATTTGACGTTCATAATCAAAAAAGATCGGCAATGGATATACCAATTAAACTTTCTCCCATATGTTTTCACCCCTGGAGCTTTCCCTACGTTCCTATTTTATTAAATAACAATTTTTTAAAGCGCTATGGGTCACCGAAAGAGAAACATTTATATCGGAAGAAATATAAAAACATATTTTTTTTATAAACAAGTAATCACAGCACAGGGAGCGAAATGCCAAAATATAGGAATTGTAGAATTGATTATTCATATCCGGGAATTTAAAAAACCTTGGTTGTTTCATGTGTTGACGGATTTGGAATACCCATGTATTCTTGGTGTTGATTTTATAAGTGGATCAAGGATCGTTTTAGATTTTGATCAGAAAGCGTTGGCGATTCAAGATTCGCTGGTTGAAGATAATAAGGTAGATGAAGGGAATTTGCGCGTTGATGTGTCAGAAAAGAAGTTAAATATTGTGTTTAATGCTTTATCGAAAAACCCGGTTGACAGTATAATAGGAGAAAAAGTTAATTGTGCAATAATCAGAGATTTAGTACTTACTTCGCGGGAACAGTTAATAACAGAGCAAAAGAATGACCCAGAATTAGGTCATATCTATAGATATTTAGAAAACCCGGAAGATAACTCTGTTAATGCGACTTTGTGAAGTGGTCGCACTCGCGTCTAATTGGAACCTTGTTGTTTTATGCGAAACACGCAAGTCGTTTTAGGGAAATGGTGCGTGTATACATTCAAAGTTTTAAAACGCACTCTTGCGGCAATCTTCAGTTTATCTAAACCAATCGAGGTCATCTAGGCAGATTTAAAACTTATCATAAATTCGGGACTTTTTATTCCCGTTATGAGAAAATTTATTGATCAATACTGTCTCTACATGCCATATTGGAAGTTTAATAATATTAAAAACTCGTTACCAGCTGGTCGATTAAATCACGATTGTATCAAATTATCCAAATGAGATAGTTACGTTAAATTTATTAGGCCCGTATCCTATATCGAGAGGAACGTAATCGATATGTTTTAAAATTCCCGATCATTTCAGCAAATGGGCAAAAATTATACCTCTTAAAAGGCCTTGGCTCGTATAACAGGGATACTTTTTGATAATTTTATATCGTTTTTTGGAGCCCAATAAAATTAATAAGTGATAACGGTCCCCAATTTTATCCGAAATTTTTGAACATTTAAGGAAAGATTAGGCATGGCGAAGATTTTTGATTAGACCAAAAAGCAAATAGGACAGAAAGAGTAAATCGAGATTTTTTGCAAATGATTGCAAATTATGTAAATGATCAACACGATACTTGGGCCCAAATTTTTACGTGAGTTTGCTTACGCTATTCGTAATGCAGGAATGAAACGAGGGGAAAACCCCTGGGGAAATTTTTTTTTTGGGGGAAAATTGAACCCCATTTCAAAAATTATAATGATTTCAGACGGAACTGAATTTGGAAAAATATTGAGAAATTATTTCATGAAGCGACTAAGAACAAAAAACTAAGCATAAAAGATGGGAAAGATATTATAATGAGAAGAGGGGGATGTAAAAATTTAAAGGGTGATGTGGGTCTTATTGAAACACCTTTAAGTTCAGCAGCTAATAAAATGTTCCAAATTCAAAAAAAAAATTTAAAAAAGTCCGTATAGAGTGTTGAAGAAGAAAAATAATATTGTAATATGGAGGTCGGGAAAAGGTTAAGTTAATGTTGATCAATAAGAATATATCGTCATAGGAAATGTGACGGGGCGGTTAAAAACAGGTCGCTCAGATAGTATTAGTTCACATCGAAACGAGTAGTTCGGAAAAACGTACATCAAAGATCAAATGGCGCAAAAGGGAAGAAAAAAAAGGTCTGGGTAAAGCGTGAGTTAGGGGAAAAAGGGATAAATCTCAAATCAAAAAATGTGAAAAAAACGGATAGAACCGAAAAGCGCAGATCACTTATCAGACGCTGCCTCCTTTTCTAATAAACAAGAACAAAAGAAAACGTCTAGATAAAGGAATTTAAAAAAGGTCTATGGATGGGGATAAATGGCCCAAGAGAAAGTGAGAAACTGACCCAATAACATTAATAAAAGACCATTGTCATCCAGTAATATTTATATAAGTAAGAAGAAGAACAAGATGGAAGCAACTGGAGTCCAAGATAGAAGGGAGTACAATCTGCGCCCACACCAAAAAAAAGGATCAGGAGTCCCGACCGGAATGGAGCAACGACAACCCGCTAGAAACCCGAAGAGGAGACTACAACCCCTACTTTAGGCAACATAAAGGATCACAGAGCAACCGAGGAATAAAGATGAGAAAAGTGATAACCCCCTTGCTTTAGAGGTGATGGGGGGAAAAAACCAAAAAAAATCGGTTGTATTGTTTCTTTTTTATGTTCTTTTCCAACAAGTGGTCGGAAAATTATTGCAAAGAAAGAAGTCTCGGGCGGTGTTTAAAAGTTATAATCCAAGCAAAAAGTTGACACTACAATGGGGGTTTTTTTTTTGAACTTTTTTTAAAATTCTTTTTGAAAGATGGAGAAACAATTGTAATTATGCATTTGTTTACTTCGATGTATGACTTCGTGAGATGCGACAATTTCCTTTGGTTATTTGTTTTAATGATTTATTGAAAAATGTTTTTAATTGTATATGTATATATATAAATATATATATGTTGTATTGTTCCGTATTAAAATTCTGGGAGGGCGGGCGTTGGGGGGGGAAAAAATTTAAAAGCTGCGCGGCTCTTGGGGAGAAGGGCGGGATGGAAATGAAAGTTTGTGGTAATTTTTAAAAAAGATATATAATGCATAAAAATTTTAAACTTACTTGTATTATGTAAATATAGATTTTGCAAAGTAACTTAGTTTTATTTAGGGGGGGCAAAAATAAAATTGGTTTTAACTTGGGCATAAAACCCGTTAAGTAAAAAATTTTTTATGCAATTTTTTTTTTGGAAAAATGGAATAAAAAATATGTGTATAAAATTTAAGTGAAATTTAAAAATTAAATAAAAGAAAACGTAAAATAAATTTAATTAAAAGAAAAGTTAATTTTTTTAAAATTAATTAAAATTTTGGGGTTTTAGGTTAAATTTAAAAAGAAAATTTTTTTCAAAAGAAAATTTAAAATTCAGTTTTTTTGAAATTTAGAATTAAAAAAATTCAAATTAAAAAAATTTAAAAAAGAAAAAGGAATTTAAAAAAAAAAAATTTTTTTTACTAATTTTAAGGGTTAGAACCCCTTAATAAAAATGTTTTTTCTTTTGGGGGGGGAAACTAGGTTTCCTTAACAAACCCGTTTCTTTTTTAAATTAAAAAAACTTTTCCACCCAAAAAAAATAAAAAAGTAGATGGAAGTAACCTTAAAAAGGTAGAAGTTTTTTGACGTAAAAATTTAGAAAGTTAGGTTTGGGAATAAATTTATTGAAAGTTATCAAAACGAAAAAGCCTTTTAAACAAATTTTTTTTCCCATTTAAAATTTTAAAATTTGATTAGTTAATTCAAAATAAAGATTTTATTTAAGCAATTAATTGAATTAATTAAAAAAAAAAATTTTTTTGAAAAGTGATCTAATTGCGCGATCTGTGTTGATTAAGACTACGTGTTTTGGTTTATTCTCACTTAATATAAGTTTGTTCGATATCTAAGTAATCTAAGTTAAAAATTCTTAATAAAAGTAATATTAAGAATTCTAAAATGTCTCATCATTTCGAGAATCCGACACCTCTAACTTACGCTAAAACCCCACAATATGGTCATCGAAGGTCGACCATGTCACAACGTCTTGCAAAAAGCTTGATCAAATACATTCAATGTCTTATTAGCAGGTAAAAGACATTCTTCGCGTTTGTATTTTTATCGTTTTGATTTTGATGTTACATTTGGATGAAGTAAAAAGAGATTTTCGGACTCGACCGGGATTTGAACCCGGGACCTCTCGCACCCTAAAAGAGAATCATACGCCATTACCACCGAGCCTGGTTGGGGTTTGTAAAGAAATATGTCAACTTTAGTGTAGAAAGCAATCTTAACCAAAAACTCTGTAGGAACGTCTAGCAAAAAGCTGGTTCAAATACATGAAAGGTCTTATTAGTAGGTAAAATATATTTTTCGCGTTTGTATTTTTATAGTTTTGATACTGCTGTTACACTTGAATGAACTAAAAAGAGATTTTCCGGCTCGACGGGGATTTGAACCCGGGCCCTCTCACCCCCAAAGTGAGAATCATACCCCAGACCACCGAGCCATGTCATACCAGCCTGACCCAAGCATTCAAAAGGGATTCGAGGGGTACTGCAATTATAATTTTCCAATGGATGGAAAAGAAAATCATACCTTGCTTACTCTGGGGTTATTAAAATTCTTTTGAAAAGGACACAAGAAGAACATTAAACCGCGTTTTTTTAAAACGATTAAGCACAGTGGGTTCGACCGGGAATGGAACCCGGGACCTCTCGCACCCGAAGCGAGAATCATACCCCTAGACCATCGAGCCCTGATTACTGCGGGTATTTTTACTTTTACTGCGTTCAATATACTTGTTCGAGAATTTCTAAAATTCAACTTGTGCTAAAACTTGTGTGCACGATAAACGAGCCATTTGTTTTAAACAGATAACGTGCTTGGTTATTTGCCTTCCAAGGCAATTCTCCACTGGTGATACTATTTGGGTGTCATTTTTTTTTATTAGAAAGGAAACATTTTAAACATGAGGTTCGGTTTGGATTTCAAAACTGAACGTTGCGCACTGTGGTGTCTCAATATCTTGTCTCTAGAACACAGAACTACATTCAAATTTTTGTTAACTCATTCATTTGCCTCTTGCAACTTTAAAAATTTTCTTTACTTCGAAACGCTGGGTGGCAATGATATCTCAATACTTTTTTTTTATTTAAAATTGTTAGGAATTTGGACCACTTGAAAGATCTTTTCTTAAAATTCCCACATTGCGAAACATGCATTTGATTCTATTTTGGAAAGACCAACTTTATACGGGTTGAAACTGTCAAAAGAAAAAATCTGCTTGGGAAAATGCAATTGGCAGTTCATGTGTTACACTGTCTCTAGATCACTCCCGAATCTCACGTATTTCGTGTCCAATACCCTCGCGCTGCTTGAAATGGGGTCGTCAATTAACAGTTAATCGCTCGATGAAATCCATACATAACCTAGAAAAGAAAGAGCACTTCGGGCTCGACTGGGATTTGAACCCCGGACCTCTCGCATCCTAAGCGAGAATCATAGCCTCAGACCACCGAGGCTCGTTACGCACACACGCACACACACATTCTTGCCAGAATCAGTTGCCAGTGTAGCCGCCATTTTTGGAGATTACTGCTGCCACACACCTAGGCATTGATTCAAAGAGGCTTTGGATGTGTTCTTGTGGTACAGCAGACCAAGCAGCTTCCACACGTTGCCAAATTTGATCTGTTGTGACAACTGGGTGTGTAATCTGGTTCAATCGTTGAGCAACCATGAACCGCATGTTATCTATCGGCGAGAGATCCGGAGAGCGAGCCGACCAGGGAAGCAATTAAATCTGATGATTGACGAAGAACCTTTGGGCAATGCTTGTCACGTGTAGTCACGCATTATCCTGTTGAAATATGGCTGTGGCCAAGCCCTGAAGGTAAGGAAGGACAACTGGCTCGGAGAAGTAGCGCTGGCTGTATAAAGTACCAGCAATGTGTACTAGAGGAGGGCAAGAGTGATATCCAATATCACCCCATATCATAATACCCGGTGCAGGACCAGTGTGGCGGTGCATAACGCAGCTGTTCAGCATCCTCTCTCCACGGTGTCTCCAGACTCGAATCCGATCATCGTGGTGTTGTAGACAGATGCGTGACTCATCAGTAAACACAACATGTGAGGGATCACGCGTCTTTTCTGTAACATAACCTCTGGGTTCTTTGACGGCCAAGATTAATGGCAAATCTTTTCCAACCCAAATCCAAGAAGTGAAATGCAATTGTAGATGCAAATAAGATAGCCTTTAAAAGAACAGTTTTAGTAAGCGAGATGGCAATTGAGAGAAAGGTCTGTTTGGAAGAGATAGAAGTGTAATTTGACGGCCTACCAAAGATTAACAGATTCCTAGCCATTACTACAAGGTGCATACTATTGGACGCGTGCATAACAGTCTCTCTGAAAGTGATTGAACCTTTGCTTGATTCAAGGTAGGACAGATTATTTCATATTAGAACTTGTAATATTATCAGAATTGAATAAGTAGGCGGATAATATAATTATTTAGATAACTGATCCAAGTTACGCGATCTGGTTTAGCTACAGCTACGTGTTTGGTTTATTCTCACTTAATATAAGTTTACCCAATTTATTAGAAATTTAAGTTAAACTCTTAATAAAGTCATATTAAGAATTCTAAAATGTCTATTCATTTCGAGAATCCCACACCTCTAATTCACGCTGACAACAAAGATATGGTCGCCATAGAACGACCATATCACAAACTTCATTCCATTCTTTCACCCACATTCTTCTTTCATCGCACCATTGGCGGCGGAGACGTCTGTGGTTCTGTGTCAAGGGTAGACCAAGCAATGGACGTCTTGCGGACAACCACTCTGCTGTAAACGGCATCGAATGGTACGCGCAGACCCTGAATGATGCGTTACAGTCTCAATGTGCTGCTCTATGGTTCGTGATGTGACTGAGCGATCCGTCACTGCCATGCGCACAATTTGCCTGTCCTCTCGTGAAGTGGTGCACAGAGGTGGATGCGATCGACCACGTCAGTCCATCGTACCCTCCTGCATCCAACGGTCACATATCTGCATTACATTTGTTTGGTTTCGTCCAAAGCAACTACCGATTTCTCTGAAAGATAATTCACAATCTCGGTAGGCTACTATCCTTCCTCTGTCGAACTCAGATACTTTATCAAAAGCTGATTGCTGTTTTCTACGAGATATAACTGATCGTTTTTTGTAAAAACCACAAGAAAAACACAATTGCCGAACTTGAAATCGTCGAAATCTCCAAGCCTTAAATAGCGCTTTGAGGTGGCGCCATATGCGCGCGTGATGTGTGTCTGCGCTGAAATTCTAATCATTTGCATATCTCACCTCCGCTAATTCATGATGCAAATTTCATGTCATTTGCATGCTTCCTTCAAGGTGTTGCATTTACGGTGGGCAGCAGTGTATATTTTTCCTGTGTAAAAAAATTTGAAAGCGTATAATGCAATGTCTTTTTATAAATTAAAGGTTTTAGTTTGGTATCGCGATCCGTTTCGATCAAAATTCTTTCAAATTTTTGCTACCCTGAACAATAACATGGCACTATGGTTACCTTGATTTTTATCGTTTCGTACTGTGTTTTTTATTAAGTTTACTAGTATGATCTTTTTTTTTTTCTTTTTTCATTGGTTTATTCTTATTGCGATGATTAATTTCTAGCGATTTGATTTTATAAGGAATTTACCCAATTCTATACCGAACGCTATTACTATACTTTCAAGTACTATTTTTGTAGTTTTTCTTTCTGTTTGATAATGAATGTTTCAAAAATTATTGGTGAGCACCAGGTTCACTTTGTAAAAAAGTATGAGCATTCTGAATTTAAATATTATGGTCTAATAGGTTAAGGAAATTTGCACGTTTGGTCAATATTATTTTCTATTTGACCGAATTTTTTCTTCTCAAACTAGAAATTTCTGATTTTGGCCTTTATGAAATGCAATAAATGCGGTGAAGCCTTAAGGTATCCGACTACGTTCGGAACCGTGATTTTGCAAAAGCGTGTAAATGGATAATATTTATGATATTTAGTGTCACTTAGATTAGAATACATGTATAATTTTTTTAAAAAACATGACAAAAGTATTTAAATACAATATTTTGACAAAATTCTTAGAATAACCTTTTTTTAAAATGTTCTCCTTTTTTAAAAATGCTTATTGTATTAATATTTTGCCGATTCACTAGACCTGTACAGAGACTCAACTAGAATTTTTTAAACGCATAACTCGGAAGTCGATTTATCCGTTTTATGAAAACAGAAGGGAGAAATTTTAAGAAATACGCCGATAATTATTGCAAATGGTTGTAACTCTGAAAATAATTTGAATTTTTCAAAAATCATAGTTGAGCCTCTGTACAGAGGTCTGAGCTATATACAGGAAAAATATTAATACATTAGAAACATTAGAAGCATTTTTTACAAAAGGAGAACATTTGGAAAAAAGGTTATTCTAAGTTAATTTCTTGCCAAAATATTGTATTTAAATAGATTTTTTTTCTGTCATAATGTCCTTAAAACAATTTTATACATGCATTCTAATCTAAAAGTGACACTAAATATCATGAAAATTATACATTTATGAGTTTTTTTAATATCATGGTTCCGAACGTAGTCGGATACCTTCAGAATTTTTTCTTAAGAAAGTAATAAATTGGGCTGCTGAATTTTTTATGGGGGATTTTACTACCATATTTATAAATCTGTCAGGCAGGATTTTTTTAAATGATAGCAAATTGCAAATTTCCGCGGTTTTGCTTAGAATAAATGATTTCATAATTTTTTCTCAGATTCCACAATAAGTCATCACTTTTTTTAGTGCTTAATTCCTCTTTCGGCTTCAAATTATTTTTTAAAGAACTTTTTAACCGCATTCAGCAATTCTTCAGCAATTTTGAAATCTCTTAAAATGCTGTAATTCTGCAGTCCTCACCTACTTTATCAAGTCTCAGTGAATTATTTTTTACAATTATAAAAACTATTTTCCATCCAAGTCCTATTTAGCACGATTTTAATCGTTTTAGATGGATATGTATAGCAGCTAGCGTACCAAGAACAAATTAGTTCCTACCAAAATATAAAACACTTACAACAGCGTTTCTCAAACTGTGGGGGCGAAAACCCCTGCGGGGGGCGAGCATATTGAAAATAAAAGGTTTAAAAAAAATTTTTTTTTGAAGAAGAAAGCAAAATGTTTTTGAAAAAAATAAAAATACACATTTACACTATATATCACCTGGTTTTCCACTTTCCACATTAAAAGCTCATTAGCTATCTTTGATCTTAAAACCAAAAAAAAAAAAGACCTTTTGTTTGCTTTGCTGTAATCCCACGATGAGAGATTTTTTATTATTTTTTTTAACCCCCAAAATACTATTTTTATTACCCTTTTTGACCTTCAAACTTACTGGTATGTTCAACTCGTTTTTTTTCTTTTTTAGAAAGTTGTAAATAATATTTTTCTTTTGTTTTTTCCCCATG